AACAGGTTTTCTCCAAGGAAACCTCTCTCTGTAGTCTCACCTCATCATCTCCTTAGGAATGAAAACCCATCTACAAGTACTGATCCCTCCATTATTTTATTATTAAGCAATTTGTTACTCATATGTGTGTTTGTTTTTATTTTACTTACATATATAATTTTAAATATTCCCAGTTTTTGAAGTAACTCCATTCTGACTCAGTTTTTTGCTGATGACTTGACATTTTCCTTTAGGTTATCTTCTACCCACGTTGGGAGTTGTGAATACTTACCCTTTTATTGTTTGTTTTCTGGCCGTAGAGTACATGAGTAAGTGTCACATGCATGTGGTATTGCTTGTCAGAGAGTGGAATTCTAAGACTTCCTCTTTACATAGAACAGTTTAACTTTAGTGCTTCTGGGTAGAGGTATGGTCCTCGGGACAGTTCTGCTTCCACCTAATAGTTATGGCAGCGATCAAGACATGTCGCTTTGCTGCCTGTGCATTGAGGCCTCAGAATCTGCTCTACCCAACTTGACAACAGGTATCGTTCAGAGTTGATAGTTTGGGGGTGGGTAGATAACCACAATAATCAAGTGTGAATGGAGATTTCAAAAAATTTATCTTATTTACTACTGTTACCATCTTCATTCTTGGTCAGTGAAGGTTTGTGTGTTTTTCCGCCCTTGCATTTCACAGTAGAATCTCAATAACTGCTTACTTATTGAATGGAAGAATATGTGAATAATATGTAATATTTTGTGATATTAAGATATATATGGCTCGATGTGAAGAAATTAAACTATTTTAAGAACTATTGAATAATTTATCCAACTATTTTATATAGTTTTTAAAAGAGGTATTAAAAATTGTAGCCTCTTAGAGAATATGCAGTCAGATAAAGTAGAATTCTGGCAAGGTAAGTGTTTATAAAATACTTAAAAATGTCTAAACTGAAAATTTTATATATTAACTTCTCCAATTACTACCTGACAAATATTTAATTAAACTGATAAAAGTTATTGAATAATTAATTGGTGAAAAGTATCAAACTAAATTTAGGAATTATCTTGGAATTTGAGCTTTATTATTCTGGATTTTAACTTGCTTAATTAATCATGACAATTTATGCTGTACAAGTTGCTATTTATTTCTCTTTTGCTTTTTTTGTTGTTGTATCCTGCAAATGTATCGATAGAAAAGAATAATAAAAATTACCTTTTCTTAATTGTCATGTTTATTTCTGCTACCTGAGTCCTTTACACACCAAAAGTGAAAAATCTACTCAAGTCCATGATCTAATAATCCCTTCTATAGCAGTGATTATTGGAAGATTAGTTAATTTTACCGTCTAAGGTGCCTAATTTATAGCAGTCACTTCACATTGTTCAAAAATAAAACATTCCTGGCCTACACACTTGCATTTAGGTAGGCACAGTACATCTGAATCATCCAGACATGTCTGTCTGAACTGATGAGGAAAGTGGCATAGACCAGACCCACTGGGTAACACTGTGACATTTAGTTGCTCTTCCCACAGCCTTTTGTTTCATTTTGGTTTTTGCCTTTATTTCTTAGCTTGTTCTCCCCCATTTAGTTCTTTAACTGTTTGTGATTCAAAATACATGTTCATTCCTAGCCTCAGAAAAATATTAGGATGTTTATGTCTTTAAAAAAAGTTTTCCTTTTGTTTGGTGTTAATGGGTAGGATGGTTTTTAAATGGATATCCTGTGTGGGTGGATTGTACAGGATACTGACCCTTAATTCTGTGAGAACAAAAGAATGAGTGGGAAGAAAGAAGAAAGGAAGGAAATAAGATCTTTTGACTTTAACTGAAAAGACCATAGAACCAGAGATGGGAAGAAGGGGAGTGGAATAAAATGAATTGTTTTCCAATTTGTGGAGCTTTTAGTACTTTGGCCTCAAAAATAACTTTTATCCTGTATTTATTACTTTATATGTTTGATAAATATATAGTATTGTTTGGCCTGTGTATATCTTTTAAATCTACATGAAATCGTGCTGTAGGTCTCATTCTGTTTTCTCCTTTTGTCAAATAACATGGTTTTTAAGCAGCTGACTTGCCTTTAACAGTCCTCCTTTGGGCTTGGAGTTCCCCCCTGTACAGATGAACCACACATTATAGGTGTGTCTTTGCACATTAACAGTCTGTCGCTCTCCTGTCATCCGTGCAGAATTCCTGCTCATCTAGTTTAAGTGCTCAGATTTAAAGTCTGAAGCCGTGCCTGATTCCAGAGATTTGTTTTATATTCTGTTCTCTCATAGTATTCTCTGTGAGTATGGCAGTACAGTAGTCCCCTCCTTATCTGTGGGGGACGCCTGAAACCACAGACAGTATCAAACCCTACACTGCATTTTTTCCTACACGTACATACCTGTGGTAAAATTTAACTTATAAATAAGGCACAGTAAGAGATTAACAACAATAACTAATAGTAAAATCGAATAACTGTAGCAATATACTGTAATAAAATTTATGTGAATGCGGTATCTCTCTCTCTTTCAAAGTATCTTATTATACTGTGCTCATCCTTCTCCTTGGGATGATGTGAGATGATAAGAGATGCCCTTCATGATGGGATGAAGTGAGGTGAATGATGAGGCATTGTGATACAGTATTAGGCTAGTATTGAAAACTAATTTAAAACTTACGAATTGTTTATTTCTGGAATTCTCCATTTAATATTTTCTGGCTGTGGTTGACTACAGGTAACTGAACCTAGGGAAAGCAAAAGCGCAGATAAGGGGTCCTACTGTGTACATGATTTATTCTTTCAACACATCTTTTTTGAGAGTCTAATATATAGGCACTGTTCTGGGTTCACTATTTACTGAACAAACAGACAAAAATCCCTGTCCTCATAAAACTTACATTCTAGTGCAAGGTGTTAGATAATATACAAGGGAACTTCAAAAAGTTTATGGAAAGATTAGTGTGATCTTTTAATTCTATTTTTTCATGAACTTTTTGAAGTACCCTTGTACATGAATATAATAATAAATAGGTAAATTATGCAATATGGTGGTAATAAGAGCTATGGAGAGAAATAAATCAGGAAAGGAGAAATGGGGGATATGTTGTGAGGAGTAGATACACTTTAAAATAGCTTAGTCAGAATACCATACTGAGAGGATAACATTTGTGTGAAATGTCAAGGGGAAGTGATTTACGGGGAAGGAAAAACCAGTGCAGAGGTCTTGAGGCAGGAGGAATGTACCTGCCATGTTCAAGCAATAGCAGGTAGGCCAGTGGCCAGAACGAGGTGAGCTAGGGGAAGAATAGTAGAAGATGAACTGGCAAGACAAGTTGTGAACAGCTTTGCAGACCCTGTAAGGATTTTGGCTTTTATTCTAAGATGGAGCCATTGAAGAGTTTTGAACAAATCTAACTTATGCTTTAAAAGATGTCTGGTGTCAGTGGTTTGGATTCCTTATTAGCCAGCAGCTAAAAACAAAACAAAAATTAAAAATTAAAAAAAAAAAAAAGATGGCTGGTATGTTGAGAATAGACAGTAGGGAGAGCAGGTATAAAAGTGTGGAAATCAGTTAGTAATCTAGTGATATAATCTAGGTAAGAGATGATGGTGGTGACATGTGGTATGTGAGAGCAAGAAAGAGTCATGAATGATTCCAAGGTTTTTGGCCTAGCCACCTGGTAGAGTTGCCATGAACTAAGATAGGGAATGCCGTGTGAAAACAGATTTGGGGGCAAGAACGGAGAGTAATTTTGCATATTAAGCCATTTCTTTTAATATGGTGTTTTGTTTATTTGGTAGTCCTAATTTGGTTATCTTGGTATATAATATAGCTGTTCTCATTCACTATAACTCTGCATTTAAATAAGGAACAGGATAACTGCTTTAAATTAACCTTTCAGTATGTCTGAACATATCTAAGTTTATTATAACACAGTCATACATAATGACATTTTGGTCAATCACAGACTGCATATATGACAATGGTCCCCTAAGATTATATGGCTGTACTATATGGCTTAGGTTTGCAATAGGCTATACCATCTAGGTTTGTGTAAGTACACCCTATGATGTTCACACAACAACGTAATTGCCTTATGACACATTTTTCAGAATGTGTCCATGTTGTTAAGCAACACATGACTGTATTCGTAAAGCAAATGTAATTAACTGTGGAATTTTAAACATACATTTATTTTTTTGGCAGCTTGTTGGTACAGAGATCCAAACTCTTGACCCTGGTGTTATAACACCCCACTCTAACCAACTGAGCTAACCAGCCAGCCCTGTATATTCCTTTTAAGAGAAGGAAGGAATGTGATGAAGTGAAACAAACTCTATAAATGTTAGGAGAATTACAAATCCAACCTACAACAGGAATTTCTATCTATATCATGTATCATGTAGTTGTGAAGTCAGTTTTTAAACATTGGTTAATGCGACTTTAATGTACATCTCATTGTGTATTTTTTTATAATTTGGGCATCTATTTACCAGTTATTGAACACATATTATGTAACTCTTGATAGAAAACAGATAATAGTTTTTATCCCCAAGGAGCACATTGTGAAGTTTGGAAAACACACTTAAATACAGGATATTATAAATACAGAGATAAAAATAGAGGGTATTAATGCACCAAGTGTAATGCTTTTGAGAGCACAGGGAGGAGGAACATTTGAGGTGTCCTAACGGTGGTTGTATTGGAGCCGAGTGTTACAAAATGAATGGATGAGTGCTGTGTGCTTCTGGGGAAGAAAAGAGTAAAAAACTAAAATGAGTGGGTGAGAACCCATTCCAGATACACTGGACTGTGTGAACAAAGGTCAGAAGGTGAGAAGCAGCATGGTGTATGTTAAAATTTACAGTTTGAGGTGTGGAGTGGGAAGAGGTGAAGCTGGAGAAGTAGGCAGAGACCTTATCATGAAGGGCCTGGAAGCCTATGATCAGGAGACTTCAGCTTGATGATGAACTACTGAAGAGGCTTAAGAAGAGTGACATGGTCAAATTTTTGTCTTAAATAGATCACTTTGCCAGCTGTGTGGAGGATGGATTTGAGGGAGACAAGACTGGAGGAAGTAGTCCAGGTGAGAGATGTTGGGTTTCTGAACTAAGGCATTGGCAATAGAGATGGAGAAGAGGGAATGGATTTGAACCAAAATAAAACCACAAATGCAAGGTTTTTTCCTTCAAATATGATAAAACCAATTTTAAATTAAAAATGAGTGGAGGGAGAGAGACATAATAGAGAAGTGTTGTTACATGACATGGACAGTTGGATGGTTTGCCTTGGCAGACAGCCACTAAAAACAGTCCCAATGATCAAGAAAATCACTACTGGAAGAATAGTGTATTTTTTGTATAACCAGCCTGGGCTGTAAGAATCAGGTGGTCTTTAATTAAGGTGGTATAAGGATCACCTGTTTATGTAGTATGACTAAAGGTAGGAACTGTAAAGCCTTGTGGAAAGAAGCAGGTCTTACAAAGTTTCAACCACCACGGTAGAAACTCAACAAGTCCATTGGTAGTTACATTTTCTACAACCTTCAATTAAATTATTGTTATTTTACAGAAATCCACTGCCCATGAAAAGAAATAGAGTGAAAAAAAATTGTCATTAAAACAATGAGCAATTACAAGCTATTATACATAGTAAATAGTAACATAAAGGTATTTTGGAATGCCACAAATATTTTGTATTAAATCAAAACATGTTTCTTTTGTTTAGCAGATAATTTTAGGATTTTTTTTCTACATGCACTATTTCTATAACTTTTTCCATATGTAAAAAGAGGGTCTGGATTTATACAATATGTACATATTTCTGAAATATAGTCTCTGTTGTCTTTTCTACAATTTGTTTTATGTGGGGAGAGTTTGGGAGGACTTGTGAAACATTACTCTTCCTTTAAAACCACCACTACCACCACAAAAAAAATATCCAATATGCTATATAATATTAGTAGACATTTCTTTTTTTTCATTTTGAGAAAACCTTGCTTTTCCTATTTATTTTTGTCTGATTTTGGCAAATGTGTATAAATCAGGCCTCTCATTTTGTGGTCTATTCTCTGACTACCTTGTTATATTTTAAGCAAGTAAATTGCTTCCTCATGACACAGTGCCTGTTTGCTCATTCTTCATGACTCCACAAACTGTACAGTTCTGTCCCAGTCTGGAGCTGTCAGTGTATGCCAGCAGCTGAAATACTGTTTATGTACTGAATTTGAAGGAATTTCCAGCTGTTGAGCTCACTGTTAATTCTCTTCCCTTTTTATGTCTTTCAGAAGCCTTGCACCGCCCTTACGGTTGTGATGTTGAACCCCAGGCACTGAACGAAGCCATCAGATGGAGCTCCAAGGAGAACTTGCTCGGAGCTACTGAGAGTGACCCTAATCTCTTCGTTGCACTTTATGATTTTGTAGCAAGTGGTGATAACACACTTAGCATCACTAAAGGTGAGGCTTCTGTGTAACATCCTCTCACTTTTCAGTTTTCATTAATGGTTAAGAAATAAAGGGACCTGTTTTATTTTCTGCCACTGACTAAAATTAGCTAGGTAATTTGGGTGCAAATACTTTTGGTTCATTGTCTTTTTTACCTGTGTATGAGATAATGCCCTATAATGTATAAGTCTACTTTTTAGGATTTATTAAGGATAAAATGAGATAAAGCACCTTAGAAAAAAACCTCTACAATATGTACGTAAACTTTCCTTGTCACAATTCTGTATTATATGTAATATGCCAATATTCATCTACCACAAAGGTAAGATTTACCATACATCAATTCTAATTGAACTGTGGCTAACTAAGGTGAGTCATGTTGCCAGACCCCAGTGCTATTCAAATGTTGTCTGTGGAGTGACTACCTATCTGAGAACTGTTCATTACCAGTCTACAGTGAGATTAAGAACTTGCACCCAGAATGTAAGCAACTGAATCACTAAGCACACTGTTTATTATTTAGTTCAATAAACATTTTCATTTTTGGAGCAAGAGTTTCTGCATGAAGATAAGAGTCCAGAATGTGAAACACTGGGCTCTCATCTTCATGCAGAAACTCTTGCTCCAAAAAATGAAAATGTGTTTATATAGGTTAGTGAGAGAAATAGTAGGAAGGATTTCTATTGTAATAATAATCTCAAGAGAGTAGTAGTTTGTTTCAGTGGCAAATTCTTAATAAAAGGGAACACTAAGAACACGACCAAGTAAAATCACCCATTATTGATTTTTTAAACAAGGACAAAAATAGTGGATCTTTTATGAGAAAGAAATAGGAGTATGGGGACATTCTCATTGTGTGCATGAATTGGATTGCTAGTCTGCCGAAGCTTATTCTTACTTTCTGAACCTATGAAAACGTCCTACTGGGAAAAAATGTGTTTCAGGATAATTTTTGACGAAATGAAATTGTAACTTAAATGATTATTTGTCAGATAAATGCCTTTTATTTGAAAGGTTCAGAACAAGGTATAAAATGGCAGTGGATATACCAAACTAAAAAGACAGGCCTCTCTCCAGTCAAGGAATGTTACCCTCATCTAAAGTTTTTAGGGGTCCCAGAGTGGGTGTGATTGATTACATGTGTGCATGTGCCAGAATTTTTCAAAGGCATAGGAAAAGCAAAAGTACATTATCTACTAGTGTCAATTTAACTTAAAGATTTGGGGTAGTTTTGGGGGCAGGATGGTGATGATATGTGTAATGTGGGAGTGTTTATATAGTTGAAGGAAAATTTTACATAAAGTTTGAGGATAAAACAAAGAATTCTAAAGAAATTTTATAGTGTGCAGTAGTTTCTTAGGAATACAGTACACTCTATTTTACCTTTACTGATAACATTAGTGGAGAAATTTGTGAAGCAGTGACTCAGAACATTCTTTTCTAGGTATAATTTTCTTGTCAGTACTTTCCAAGTTAGCTCAGTCACCAAGGAAACATTGATAAAGTCTGTTAATTCCTCAGTTACCAGTTATAGCAACCATTTGTGTGCAGCTCAAGAACTGAGATTCCTTTTATTTTATGGCCAACAGTTTCTTGTAAAACCTCTGAAATGCCAGATTTTTATATCAGGTTCTTATTAATATAAAATGTCATGCTAAAGTATTTTATTATTTTAAAAGATAAAAAGTATTTTAAAAATAAGATGACACTAATTTTATTTCCTTCCTGGAAGATGATATTTTGCTTGAATTTAAAAAAACAAATATTCTCTGTAGGACTCCTCTGCCTATAGTGTCAATGTTTGTATCATTAGTAGTCACCCCCATCAATTTCCATGGTAGCCAAAACTTTCATAGTAGAAAATTTTCCTAACAACTGCCAAAAAGAGAAAATCAAACAAAAGCCTAGAGTGTTTGACTGTATCCTAATTACGATGACCTGTCATTTCCAGTTCTTTATTAAGAAGCAACAATATTATATATATGTAAAGTACTTAGTCTTTACTTCTAGTTCTTGTGGACTAATAGAGAAAAGCTACAGAGCAACAAGCTTTCTTCAGTTTTTCTAGCAAGATTTTTTTTTTTTCTGTAAATATGGTTGGTGAGTATTTATCTGTGCACTTGTGCATATCCACCACCACACTAGATACATTCCTATCTATCTGTATATATGTATATTATATATATGTGTGTGTGTTTACATTCTTGTGTTTTATCACACTGAATGTCTCATATCCAGTTGTCTCAGGTGAGATAGTAGGGTCTAATAGAAAGTATCCCATGGTAAACATTTCTGTAGGCCATTGGGAAAAGATAGAAGGCTTCTAAATTAATCATTTTGCATTTTTCCTCAATAGCCTTGCCTGATAACTTCTGGGCCATGTGCTTTTGATTGATTTGGCTTTTTTCTGCTTTCCGATATTGAGGATATAGTTGTGAACTCTCTATGAAGGCTTGCATCTCTTAGAGACAAGAGCCTAAGGCACTACAAGGATTATTTAGATTAACATTTATTTATTACTAATGATATCTCTTTCAATTTCCATGTTTTACCAAAGAAGCTTCTAGTCTGCTGCAAGTATAGAGACAAAATGAACGTTGAATTGTGATGTTCACAACTTTAATAGATAATTCAAGGACATTGGAGTTGATAACAAAGATATACTAAATGACTTGGGGTTTGAATTCCAACTTCAGAGTCAGTTTCTCTTTCTACACATGAATTTTAGAGGAATGGGTAGGAGTAATTCATTTTTCATGGGGAATAGGAGGGAAAGCAGGAAATTATAACTGTTTTAAACTTGCGTCCTGGAAAAGATTGTGCCTTGGGGGTCCTCACTGACCACCCCCCAGTTTTTGTTGCCTTGGATCCAAGTGAAATTTAGAAGTAACTTTATATTTCACATGTCTTATCCTCAGTCCTTGATTATTGTTAACATTGAACCATATATATGAGATACATTCATTGATAAACTGTTTTGAGGGAAAGTGACTTTTATTTTTCTTTTGAAGAGTGAGCACCATGTCATTATCCAACCATTTGAATAATCTATCTTAGTACACCATCTTACTATTCATAGAGTTTCCTAAGGACATTTTTATGTGGTGTATAAACCTTTAAAAACCTGTAGGAGCAGGGCTGGCCCGTGGCTCACTCGGGAGAGTGTGGTGCTGATAACACCAAGGCCGCGGGTTTGGATCCCTACATAGGGATGGCCGGTTAGCTCACTTGGGAGAGCGTGGTGCTGACAACACCAAGTCAAGGGTTAAGATCCCCTTACTGGTCATCTTAAAAAAAAAACTGTAATAAATGCCAGAAAACTCTCTGACTGTGCTTCTGTGGTTTTAAGAGAAGCTAAAGAGATCAGTCAGGCGATGATGATCAAGCTAGAGAGATCAATCAGGGTGTGATAAGTAGACAAGTTTGTTTTCATTATTTAAAAAAAAATTTTTGTCATAAAAGTTCCTGATTCATTTTTCAGTGAATTTAAAGTTTGACAGTACAGTGCTTCAGTTTGAAATAAAGTGTTAACATCTTTTCTTTCATTCTGTGATGATCTCATGGCTAGGTGAAAAGCTGCGAGTCCTTGGTTACAACCAGAATGGTGAGTGGAGTGAAGTTCGCTCTAAGAATGGACAGGGTTGGGTGCCAAGCAACTATATCACTCCAGTGAACAGCCTGGAAAAACATTCCTGGTACCATGGACCAGTATCACGCAGTGCAGCAGAGTATCTACTCAGCAGTCTAATCAATGGCAGTTTCCTGGTGCGAGAAAGTGAGAGCAGCCCTGGGCAGCTGTCAATCTCGCTCAGGTACGAAGGGCGTGTGTATCACTACAGGATCAATACCACCACAGATGGCAAGGTAAGATTTGCCAGAGCAGCCAGTAACCACCTCTAGGTGTGGACAGGCAGCTCTGTAGAAACAACGTTCAGAATGACTAAAGTGGAATATAGTTTTTATGACTGACACAGAATAAAATATTCTCTGACTTTGTGAGTTTGGGTTATTTGGCCTATTAGAGCTTGCTCTTTTCAAAAGAATATGGTAATGGAAATTAAAAACAGTACTGTATTAATTTAATGATAAGCTATATTTGAAGGTGAAGAAGGAAGGAAACTGCTGTATAAGTTAGCTGTTCTAATCATCAACACGCAAATATGCACCCCATACATTGATATAGAATTTATAAATTAACCTTCTATCTTTGAAAAATAGAATAATCTCTACTAGAACGTTCACTGAGTATGAATTTAGATTTTTGAGACCGATGTTGATCGTTATTGTATGTTCATATAAATAGATTATTCAGTCATTTAGCAATTTTATGTTGGGAAGACCAACCATGTTAGAATGGATGTGTAAGAATGGAACTGTTCCACTTCATAAACTATTAGAATTGGCTTATGTCCGTTCTTCTATTGAACAGTAAATTTAGGTTGAATTATTTTTTTCCATTCTTTCCCTCTCTGTGATATGCACAGTAGGGGGAAGCACAGGCTTTGGAATAAGCAGTCCTGGTTTGCTTTATAACTACGCCATTTATTAACTTTGTGACCTTACATAGCCTCAATTTCCCTGTCTACAATAAAATCCCACTTTATTGGATCGTTGTAAGGATTAAGTGAAATAATTTCTGTTAAACATAATGGCTGGTACAGAGTAGGAAATAAATGATTAGTTTTCTTTCTCTTTTGGACCACTATACAGACATAGTATGCTGTCTCTTGACTGAACCAAATAGAATCAGATAATAATATGAGAGAGGCCAGCAGTTTTACTTCTAGTTATATACCCAGCAGAAATGAGTGCAAGTGTATACCAGAATACGTATGGGAATGTGCATGGCAGCATTATTTATGATAACTAAAAACTGGAAACACCCAAGTATCTAACAGCAGTGGAGTGGATTAATAAATTGTGGTATATTTATAAAATGGAATCTCATACAATGACAGAAATGATCATAGTACTGCTACACACAACACCATCAGGGAAAACCATAGCCTCCCACCTGCCTGCTTTTGTAAATAGATTTTCATTTTTATTTTTTGTGGCTGGCTGGAATGGAGATTCAAACCTGTGTCCTTGGTGTTATAAGGCTGTGCTCTAACCAACTGAACTAATAAGCCAGCCTGTAAATAAAATTTTATTGGAAAACAACCACACCCATTTGTTGATGTATTGTCTGTGGCTACTTTCTACTACTAGGCAGAATTGAGTAGTTGTGACAAAGACCCTCTGGCCACAAGCCTAAAATATTTATTATCTGGACTTTCACAAAAAAAAGTTTGCTGGCCTCAGCTGTAGATGTGTCTCACCCACACAAAGTTGAGTAAAAGGGGTTAGTGGTTACCAGGGGAGGGGGGGAGTGAGAATGATTGCTAATGCATATGGGGTTTCTTTTGGGGGTGATGAAAATGTTCTGGAGTTAGATAGTAGTGAGGGTTGGACAACCTTATGAATATACTAAAAACCACTAAATTGTACACATTAAAATAGTGAATTTTATGGTATGTGAATAATATTGCAATTAAAGAGAGTGAAAGAAAGCAGACACAAAACAATACATATTACACGATTTTATTTGTATATAGTTCAGAAGCAGGCAAAGCTAACCTAAAAGTTAGAAGTCAGCATGGTGGTTACCTTTCCAGGGGTAAATAGCTGGGAGGGCACAGGGGGGCTTTGGAGTATTGGTAATATTATAATTCTTGGTGTGGGTGATGATGTTTACATGAGTGAGTTTATTTTGTAAAATTTGTCAGTTCTCCACTTATGAATTGTATACTTTTCTGTATATGATAAAATGAAATGTTATTTTTCTTTTTGAAAAATAACAAACTCCCTTGGGAGATAAGGCCAAATACTGCTGTCTTACTTTACACTTTTTGTTCCATATCACAAATTAGCAACTATTTTGTTAACAATGCTCTGAAATCAAATTGTGGCTCTTTTTTAATGGCCTAGGCACTCAAAAGCACATCCTAATAATACAAAAATTGTAAGATATTTGAGTATCTTCCTCTTACCAAAAAAAAAAAAATCTAAAACAGGGGTTTTCAAATTACATTCTGTGCAAGATTCTTACATGTATCTCACAAACTTTTACAGGAGACTAAGTACCTACTTGCCTGCTTTAATCAGAGTGTCTCTTCATTTACCTGTCATATGTTTGGGTTCCACAGACTTGTTGCTTAAAAATATTTGAAGACCAATGAATTTGATGATTAAGAGAGAGATCTTACAAGTTTTTCCCCAAGGCTGAGCTCATTTAGGAAGAATAGGAAGGGTGGTTTAAATAAGATTAAACTGAGATTCTGTGTTTCCCCTTGCCATCATCTTTTGACTCTTTCATTTACCTCATATTAAATCTTTCATGTCAAAATAACCTCCTATCTTCAAATATTCAGGCCAGTGAACTATGGGCTTTTGGGTTTTTTAAAAATTCTTAATCTCTTTTCTAGTTGTTTAGCTTTTCCCTTTTTCTCACCAGGTATATGTGACCGCTGAGAGCCGTTTTAGCACGTTGGCAGAGCTTGTTCACCATCACTCCACAGTGGCTGATGGGCTGGTGACAACATTACACTACCCAGCACCCAAGTGTAATAAGCCTACAGTCTATGGTGTATCTCCCATCCATGACAAATGGGAAATGGAACGAACAGATATTACCATGAAGCACAAACTTGGGGGCGGTCAATATGGAGAGGTTTATGTTGGCGTCTGGAAGAAATACAGCCTTACAGTTGCTGTGAAAACACTGAAGGTGGGCTGCTGAGAATTACAGTTTTTAGGCATCTTTTTCTTTTGTGCTGAGTCACTTAGAAATATCAGCGTGCCCTTTTTTAGCTTTGGAACACTTTCCACCCACTGGTGCCAAGCACATCAGCAGATTGTGATGATTAACCCTAGTGCCATTGCTGACAAGACAGTGGCAGATTATTCACTGCAATGCAGTGAAACCCACATGTGGGAAAGGTATGTCTCTGGAGGCTGTTGATTTAAATTGTAGTGGGAGGTTAGAAGAGAATTAAAAGTTATAAAGGCCAAACAAGGTGTTTTGCTTCCTGAGAACAACTCTTTCTAGAGAGAATTCTTCATGCATTATGTGAGAATCATGGAGCTCTTTCTTGTTCTGTCCTTTATCTCCCTTCTACTTGCTCCCCCTGTCTCCATGCAGTTAGATCACTTCTTGTTCCTAATATTCACAGAAATCTTTTTCCTGATGCTACTCTATCTCTTCTTTAAGCATCCTAGTATCAAATTACAGGGTTGTCACTCATTTGAAGATGTACCCAGGGCCTTAGTCACTCTGGACTATCACTCATAAGGACATTTCTTAAGCTGTGAGTGGTAGTCAGTTCTGTTTATTAAGCATATTCTGATGTGAAACAATAAGACTTGTAAACATGAATTGCTCCCCTTAAGAAGAAGGAAAATAAACATGCAAACAGCTAACTGCTCTGTCTCCTCATTCAAAGGCTGAGATATCTGAAGAAGTAAACTATCAGAGAACTGAATTATCCAATCCAAGTCTCCCAAGTTTCAGTTAATTATAGGATATGATTACTCAATTTTGTTCACTTTGCTAACTTTTACTCCAATTTCTAATTTTGGGTAAATGTAAAGACATTTTTTTTTTCTTAGTTGGACTTCTGTAAAAGCATATTGGGTTGTGATAAGATTTCTTTTTCTTTTCTTTTTTTTTTTTAAGATGACCGGTAAGGGGATCTTAACGCTTGACTTGGTGTTGTCAGCACCTAAAATCAGCCAGTGAGCGAACCAGCCATCCCTATATGGGATCTGAACCCGTGGCCTTGGTGTTATCAGCACCGCACTCTCCCGAGTGAGCCACGGGCCGGCCCAGTGATAAGATTTCTTAAAGTAATATGCTAAAATACTCAAAAGATACTCCCTTTTACTTTTTTTTTTTTCCTTTTTGTCTTTTTTCGTGACCGGCAACGGGTCGCAACCCTCAGTGTCGCGCCCGTACTGGACCAGGACCAGCAACGGGATCGCAACCCTCGGTGTTGCTCCCGCATCTCGCTCAGCCAGTGAGCGGCCGGTCTGTATGTGGGATCCGAACCCTTGGCGGGAGCGCTGGCGCGCTTCCCAAGCGGCGCACTGTAGCAGTGCGCCACCGGGCCGGCCCCTCTCCCTTTTACTTTTAAAGCTGAAGTTTTAGGATTGTGAGTTGACTCAAATGATTAAGATAGGGGTTTGTCCCTCCTTTTTTTCTTTCTTACCTTTCCCCTTTTCCAGGAAGATACCATGGAGGTAGAAGAGTTCCTAAAAGAAGCTGCAGTGATGAAGGAAATCAAGCATCCTAATCTGGTACAACTATTAGGTGAGGAAGCTTGCCTGATACCATAGATTTCCTCAAAGATGCTAGCCCTCCAGCCCCTTGCTATCTCCAAATTCCTCTTGAATCACCATGGTAAAATCTCCAAGTGTGAATCCACTTCAGTAAATGGTCATTTTAATTAATAGTTCTGTGTTTAAAAATAGCCCAAGAAACAGTGGCCTGGATTGATTTCAGTATATAAAACCACCCAGCTTGTGGTAATTGCCCCAGATTCAAAGTTCAGAACCATTCAAAATTGTATGAAACCAACAACTATCATGAAATATTTTTGCTAAATAGACATTAAACAAAAGACTGTTGAAAAGAAGCAGATTAAAAATTGTGACTGCAAAAAATTATTAAATTGTGTAATGATAAGTATAGTAATTATCCTGATTTGAGAATTGTATATTGCACACAGGTATTGATATTCAATGCTGTACCCCACAGAAATGTACAATCACTTATGTTTCAATTAAAATTTTTTTTAAATAATGTGACCATACCCCTCAGTTTACCTTTACAAGCAGGGATTGCTCTACTGTGATAGATTGGCTTCTCAGCTGTTTGTTACAAAGAAACCTTTGAATAAACCTTTCCCCTTTTTAAAATAGGGCCAATTTCTTTGGACGTTCAAATTGAGCCAAACTATCCCAAAGGAAATAGTTTCTTGTTGGTTCCTTTAAGGAATCTGCCATATATCGGTGAAATCTTTGATTATGGAAACAATTAAAACCTTTTTACAAAGCATCATTACATTTGGGGTTCACATAGTCTTCAATATATGCACAATTGCTGTTACTTTTAGAAAAGCATTTTCAGCATGCAGTTGAGGAGGGCAATCATAGGCATGTACAGAATTCTAGAAATTATGGTCTTCGTGCTCAAAGAGCAAATACTCAAAGGTATATGGATTTCAAGAGAACAATATAATGGAAATGAAGATTCCCTTATCAACCAATTTCTTAATTTTTGCTACATTAATTTCAGGGAATGTGGTAGTAAGAAGGGAAGAGATTACTGCTGAACTAGATGTAAAAGATTGTCAAATTATTCATGGCCAAAGTGGTTTGGAGTGTTTGAATACATACTAATAAAACAAGCATTATTCTTCAACTATCAGGTGTGTGTACTTTGGAGCCACCATTTTACATTGTGACTGAGTACATGCCATATGGGAATTTGCTTGATTATCTCCGAGAATGCAACCGAGAAGAAGTGACTGCAGTTGTACTACTTTACATGGCCACTCAGATCTCTTCTGCAATGGAGTACCTAGAGAAGAAGAATTTCATCCATAGGTGTGTAAAACCTGCTTATTGCCTATGACTAACTGTGAAGCCATCTTGCTTGACATGCTGATGAAGGGGAGAATGTGAGAACCTTCCCAGAAATTTTCAGATGATTCAAGAAAGTAATTCTCCCTTTTACAGGGCCCATTATAATGTCATTTCCAATTTGTAAACTCTGGTTAAAGTATTAATGAGGGACCTTTGTTATTCTCAAAACAGAAAGCTGTCGCTTTATTTTGCCCAGCACCAAATCTGAGATCCTTTTGTTCTACGGTGGCTGAATTTTAAAATACCTTTCAGGGCAGCCCATTGGCTTAGTTGGTTAGAGCTCCACCTTGTAACACCAAGGTCAAGGGTTTGGATCCCCTTATTGGCCGGCTGCCAAAATAAATAAAAATAGCTTTCTGTCTTAGTAAAGAACTTAAAGCCTTATAGAAAAGCGTCTATTGCTCAACTCTGAAACTATCCCAATGTGCTTAGAAATAGGGACCCATTTTATAAAGCCTGCTTTATTCTGGCATCACATAGCTGCCTCTTGATGAGTACTCTACAAGGGATATGTAATTACTGGCTTTCTTCCATGTTGGTTTATTATCATAAAATACTACCATATTTGTCAGCACTTATTAACTCTGCTTGTAGCACAAACAACCAAGAGTAGAGCATTCATGACCATATTTCTTACGATCTGAATGGAATCACATTTAGGGTTCTCTTTCCCACAGAGATCTCGCAGCTCGTAACTGCCTAGTGGGAGAAAACCATGTGGTAAAAGTGGCTGACTTTGGCTTGAGTAGATTGATGACTGGAGACACCTATACTGCTCATGCTGGAGCCAAATTTCCTATTAAGTGGACAGCACCAGAGAGTCTTGCCTACAATACCTTCTCAATTAAATCTGATGTCTGGGGTAAGATTGGAAGGGACTTTTTCCTGCACATATCATTTTATTTTATTTCTGAATGCCCTAATTCTTTTTTTTTTTTTTTTTTTTCCTTTTTTGTCTTTTTTCGTGACCGGTAACGGGATTGCAACCCTGTGTCGCGCCCATACTGCGACCGGCAATGGGACCGCAACCCTCGGTGTTGCGCCCGCACCGCGCTCAACCAGTGAGCTGACTGGTCTCTATATGTCTATATGGGATCCGAACCCTTGGCGGGAGCGCCGCCGCACCCCAAAGCACCGCACTCTACAGAGTGCGCCACCAGGCCGGCCTGAATGCCCTAATTCTTTAGAGCTTCTCTTATATGCCGTGTTCAATCTCCTCCTCTGCCTTTACCCCAATCTTTCTTCAGTCATTTAGCAAGGATTTATTAAATACCTCCTATCTGCCAGACACTGTGCTAGGAACTTAGCATAGAAAGAAGTATGAAGAACAAAGTTTAAAAAAATAAGTCCTTCAGAATTCTAATGATCCTCTCTCTCTAAAGCTCTATATTTTCCACATTAGGTTTTATTGCTCGTTTCCAGAGCTCTGTGACACAGAGGAAGGCATCATGGGGTTTCATCTAGAATTTGTCCTTGTAACAGATCCTGTTTCTACCTCGCTGAAAAGCAGTGTAACTTAGTGGAGGCTTAGTAGACTGAACAAGTCTCAAAGTTTGGATTATGGGCCAATAGAAATAGCTGTAGGATTCTAAGTCTCTTTTTACCAGAAATCTCAGAAATAACTAACTGTGAAAATTCTTTCTTCTGTTGTAAATTTTATATGATTTTAAATGAGTCCATTTTATTTTACTCTTCTGATATTAGCTAACTTTAAAACCAGGAAACTCATTAAATGGATCAAGGGCCATTCTAAGAATAGCTGGATTATGCCCCCAGCTTCTTATATAGTCATAGTTTATTGTCACTCATCATAGTAAAGAAAACCTAAATAAAACTTGAGAAATTTAAAGAAAACTGTTTTGAGATTTTCTGCAGCATTGCTGAGGCAGACGTTCTAGAAAGACAAGTCATGCTGTAAAAGGCAAAAGAGTATATTAATGTTGTTACAATAGTGTATGAATACCCACAATTTGAAAGGGAAGTTACCTTACAATATAAAATAAATAATAAATCAGAGAAAAAACATTAAGCTTTTTTTTTTTTTAATCCCTTATGCAGCTTTTGGAGTACTGTTGTGGGAAATTGCTACATATGGAATGTCACCATATCCAGGTATTGACCTGTCTCAGGTCTATGATCTACTGGAAAAAGGATATCGAATGGAACAGCCTGAGGGATGCCCCCCTAAGGTTTATGAACTTATGAGAGCATGTGAGTATTTTTACATATTTTTAATTTTGAATGTTTAAGCCAGCAGTTCAAGATGGTTAACAAAATTGGAAACATTTCTCTTCTCAGTGTTGTTAGATTGAATCTAGTGTCATGACATTTCAAAAGTTTGTCATTGATCAACCAGTTGGTGTATCATATGATACTTCATAGAGTCTTGTTGGAATCCTAAGAATATTTGTCCATGGCTCAAATATTGACCTAATTTCTCAAAAACATTTGCATATTTAATAGGATAATAAGAAATTGGGTTTGGAAATTAAGGTGGGGGAGGGCTACTTTCAACTAGATATAGATGATTGCTAAAGGCTATTGAGAAAGCGTAATAACCTCTGTGATCAATAAGCAAAAGCATTTGACTGCTTTACAGTGAAAAAGTGGGAATATAAGTCATGAATTAAATTACAGTTGTGTTTGAACATAAATCTTTATTTTCTCATTGAGCATTAGCATTCCGTACTGCCTTTTGTCAAATGTAAACTCTAAGCTCCTCCTTTTTGATATTGTTATATTTCTGAATATATATGTAGTTGATTAATTATAAGTTAGATCGAATTTGAAAATAGGTTTTACTTTCATTTTTTCAGTTGAAGAAAACTTGCCATTTTCTAAAACATCTCTTCACCTTTCCTCATCCTTATACTTGAGGGAATAGGAGCTGAGGCCAAATAGAAGGGACCAGCCTTAGGAAATGAGTTCATTACACTCATAAGTCTGGAACCAAAAAGTGGCTGCATTACTATCATTGTGAACATGCTGCAACTCTACTTTAATAAACACACGTAATGATACATGGAGCTCGTTATCAGGTATGCCACTGGATATATAATGCCTGCAAGGAGCTTTTACTCTTTTCTTCTTTCTTTACATAGGCTGGAAGTGGAGCCCTGCCGACAGGCCCTCTTTTGCTGAAACACATCAGGCTTTTGAAACCATGTTCCATGATTCTAGCATTTCTGAAGGTGAGAATCTAGTTGATTTACTGTTGGTGGCTAGTTCTGGGGGGAAGTGATAGTGGTAATTACATTTCAAAAATCATCAATTCTGGGGCCGGCCCGGTGGCGCACTGGATAGTGCGCCGCTTGGGAAGCGTGGCGGCGCTCCCGCCCGAGGGTTCGGATCCCACGTACAGACCGGTTCCCGCTCACTGGCTGAGCGAGGCGCGGGAGCAACACCGAGGGTTGCAATCCCGTTGCCGGTCCCCGGTCCGGTACGGGGGCAACACTGAGGGTTGCGATCCGTTGCCGGACACGGAAAAAAAAAAGACAAAAGACAAAAAAAAAAAAAATCATCAATTCTGGGGCCGGCCCGGTGGCGCACTGGATAGTGCGCCGCTTGGGAAGCGTGGCGGCGCTCCCGCCCGAGGGTTCGGATCCCACGTACAGACCGGTTCCCGCTCACTGGCTGAGCGAGGCGCGGGAGCAACACCGAGGGTTGCAATCCCGTTGCCGGTCCCCGGTCCGGTACGGGGGCAACACTGAGGGTTGCGATCCGTTGCCGGACACGGAAAAAAAAAAGACAAAAGACAAAAAAAAAAAAAATCATCAATTCTTGTAGTCTGGGACTCCATTTCAAGATATTAAATTAACTTTTAGCCTTTATTCTTGTGTTGCTTTTTTACTATTTTTCAATGTGTCTTTTTGTCTCTATCTCACATACTTAGTATCAAAATTATATTTTAATTAGAACTTAATTCAGTCTCTCCATAAAGAAAGTTTGGTAGTTCTTTAAGCATGAACACGTATGATGTAGAAAAGAGAAGAGGAAAAAATAAGTATGAAAAATGTCACAACTCCGTGAACCATATCCACAAAGGCACAACCAAGATATAAAAGCAATATCCAGAAATTCCATTTCTGGAAATAGATCTTAAGAAAATAGTTAAGAGTATAAACAAAGATTAAGCTACAAGGATGTTGCATTAGAGTGTAGTTTATAATATTGAAAAATTAAAAACTTAAATATCTGAGGGACTGTTAATTATTACATACAGATAATTAAGTTTTTAAATTTTATTCTTAAAGATATTGACATGGAAAAGGACTTAGAATAAGTAGGTTAAGGTATCAACAGAGACAAACATTTATTTATTTACTTATTTTATTGAATCATAATTGATTATACATATTTTTTGGATTCAGCGTTGACATATGTTGATCAAATCAATATTACTAGTATGTATATTGTTACAAATTGTACTTATTCTTTATGCCCCTTGTCCAATCTCTTCCTATTCCCCCTCATTCCCCCCCTCCCACCACTGATAAGCCTAGATTTCTTCTCTCCCTCCGAAAGAGTAACGATTACTCTGTTGATTTGTTGCCTAGATGATCTGTCCAATGCTGAGAGGTGTGATCAGGTCCCCCAATATTATCATAGAGCAGATGCTTCCTCTGTCGCTCTGGAATGGGCTTTGTGGAGAGAGACATCCTCTTCTTTTCTTTGGTCTCTGCTGGTGACTCTCCTTGTGTTGATGCACTCCAGTGGCTGGTGGACAATCTGCATGGTGGTGTGATGTCTAGCCACTTTCACAGCAGCTGTGGTTACTGTGGTGGCTATAGTGGGCCACCCACATGGATGTGATATTTTTGGCATGCTCCTTGGTGCTGGTGGTGTGCCTGGTTGTGGATGGGTGGTTCAGTCCCTGGCTCATTGCCAGGGCTCCCAGGAAGACCCCCGAGGTGCTGGCAGTGTGCCTAGGTATGGGCAGGAGGGTCCGGTCCCCGGCTTTATCCCTGGGCCCCATGGCGGGGCCCCCAAATGGTGGCCGTTTTCCTGGGTGTGGGTGGATTTCTGGTCCCTGGCTCCATGACCTGGGCTCCCAGGTGGGGCCCCAAGGAGCTGGTAGTGTGCCTGGTTGTGGGCAAGGGATCTGGTCCCCAGATCCGTGCCCTGGGCCCCTGGGTGGGGCCTCAAGGTGCTGATGGTGTGCCTGTGTGTGGGCGGTGGGTCCGGTCCCCGGATGTGGATGGGATATGTGGGAGTGAGGTCCAGTCCTGGCTTCAAGCCTCAGGTCCCCTGGCAGCCCCAAGGCGCTGGTGGTGTGCCTGAGCTGGAACTAATTTTTTGTCCTTTGCTTACTTCTAAAACGGGGGAGCTTCCTGTGGGAACCAGTACTTGAGCTCTGTGGCTAAGCTAAATTGCTTCTTGAAGGGTTTTTGTGCAGCTCAGGGTTTAATGGTTGACCTTATAGGTACTTCCAGCTCTCCAGAGACCCTGTGCACCTGGGTTGTATAGAAACTCTGATCTGGGCCTGAGTTTTTCCATTAAACTACACCCCATGCAATCCTGCATTCCCAACCAGTCTCCTCTGAGTGGTCCTGTGCTGATTAGGGGGTGGATCGGCTGTCCTTGCTGTGTCCCAGTGTTCTCTTGGTGGGCCCATCTCCCCATGGCCTGTGCTCCAAACACTTCCCATGGGACAGGCCGTGCGCAGGTTCCTTGTGATGACTCACCGGCCTCTGAATGGCTTTTTCAGCTGTTCTGGCTCCTCATTCCTGCGTGGGTCCATGAGAACCCTATTAGTGGTTTTGCTGTCCTGGGGGCCACCAAGGCCCTCTTCTCCCCTGCTGCCTCCAACTAACTCCATCTGAAGGGCACAGCTGCAGTTTCTGCCAGCTCCTGCTCCATGTGGTCAGCATCTCCAGCCTTAAAGCAGTTGTGGCCCACAATGCTCTGAGCAGTTTTTTCTTTCTCTCATCGTGGTTTCTTCTGCCTTCATGAACTCCGTAGGTCTCTCCTCCTCTTCCCCTGCGCTCCAGCGGCCCCAGCTTGGCTGTCATTACATTTTAATAGTTGTAAATTGGTTGATTTGTGAGAGAGAGTGACGCGGGGAACCGTCTATTCCGCCATCTTGACTGGAACCAATCCTTTTCTTATTTATTTATTTATTTATTTATTTATTTATTTATTTATTTATTATTTTTTTTAATTTTAATTTTTATTTTTTTTTGTCTTTTTGTCTTTTTTTCCGTGTCCAGCAACGGATCGCAACCCTCAGTGTTGCCCCCGTACCGGACCAGGGACCGGCAACGGGATCGCAACCCTCGGTGTTGCTCCCGCGCCTCGCTCAGCCAGTGAGCGGGAACTGGTCTGTATGTGGGATCCGAACCCTCGGGCGGGAGCGCCGCCGCGCTTCCCAAGCGGCGCACTATCCAGTGCGCCACCGGGCCGGCCCCATATTTATTTATTTTTTAAAAAGATGACCAGTAAGGGGATCTTAACCCTTGACTTGGTGTTGTCAGCACCACGCTCAGCCAGTGGGTGAACTGGCCATCCCTATATAGGGATCCAAACCCATGGCCTTGGTGTTATCAGAACCACATTCTCCCAAGTGAGCCATGGAATGGCCCCTCCTTTTCTTATTTAAAAGACAAGTGTATGGACACATATAGGCATTTTCTTACTTTTATATGTGATACTTCTGAAATTATCTGCAAAAGTCAAACTTACTTGTTATAAACAGAGAGGGCCTATTATAGAGGGCTAAAAATACAGAATTCTTAGTTTCACCTGTCCATTAGGCACTATGATATAGTTCTGAAATTTTTTACATATATTTCAAATTTTTACTTTCCTTAATAGTTGAACAGAGTTAACTACTTAAGTTCAAGTTTTAAAATATTAGAAGAGGAAATCAGGCAAGTTGATTTTGTCTGCATCCCTTAGTGATTTATCACATTAGGTAAGAAGAAAGGGAAGAGAGAAGTACACCACCAAAGTTTAATGAAATAATGTTTTCATCCTAGTCATTTGAAATATGGAACTATAGAAATAGGTTGGGGAGGGCACATCTGGTGCTTTGGGCCAGATTGCATGGCTTCCTGTTATAACACTCTTCTCTCCTTTGTGGGCTTTATTTCCAATGGAGTCCAAGTGCTAAAGTCACGAATATCAGTGAAAGAGTAGCATCCATTTCTTTGGTACTTTTATGTCAACTTTTAACTTCTGTTGAAGCCTTAGGTTAATATTGCTGCCTCTCTTGAAAATGTATCCCTTTAGAAAACCAACCCTTATCAATTTTCAAAGCTACTTTTAATTCAGAATTGCTAAACAAGAAATTTAACATTATTCAACCCACATTTGATTGATTATGTAATCTGGGGCAAGCACTATACTAGGTCTAGAGACACAGATTAGATACAATTTCTGGGGCTGGCTAGTTAGCTTAGTTGGTTAGAGCATGGTGATTGCTGATAATACCAAGGTCCAGGGTTCAATCCCTGTACCAGCCTGCCTCAAAAAAAAGGGGGGGGGGAGGGCTGGTTGGTTAGCTTAGTTGGTTAGAGCACAGCATTATAATACCAAGGTCAAGGGTTCAGATCCCCCTATCGGCCAGCCCCCAAAAAAAAAAAAAAAAAAAAGACACAGTTCCTACATTAAAAGGATGTATTTATTAGTCGGTTGTAAGTGAAAGAAACCCAACTCAAAGTTTCTTAAGCAAAGAAAGGAAGATTTATTAACTCATAGCCAAACTATGGAAAAGCAGGGATGATGCTAAACTAAGGATCAGTTGAAGCTATGGACTCAAGTGGCTTCAGGTCTTTCTCCTTCCCCTCTCCCCTTCTCTCCCTCCCACAACCACTTTCATTTTCTCTTCTACTTTTGCATTGATCTCATCCTTTTTTTTTTTTTTTTTTTTTTTTTTTTTTTTTTTTTTTTTTCT